TGAGAACGTTGATAAAACGTCGCTCAAAATTGACCTCTCAATGGCCGAGCAGTTTTACTATGAGGTCATTTCATCTTTTCAAAAGGAAGAGGTAGAGTTCTATTTTGGTATGCGCAAATCACAATTTTTTTTTAATTTTTAAATCAATATACTAAATGAAAGTTTACGAGGTTAGAAAAAAAGATTTTTTATATTATCCATCATATGTTATTTCCATTGAACTTTAAATAATGATATTATTTTTTTCATTTGACTTTAAATACCAATATTAGTTATATCAATATTATATCCTTTGAGTATAAATAACAATGTTATTTTCTTTATTTGCGTTTAAATAACAATTATTAGCATAAGGTATCGAATCCCGAATCTATAATAGATATACAGATTTATTGATAAATGATTGGTCAACGTGAGTGATTACTAAATCTGAAAATAAAGTTCTTAATTATCTTAAATAAGAAATTTAATAAAGATCTAAAAATTGTAATAAAAAACTGCAATTTAAGAATTAATTAATAAAAATAGCTTTCTATTCTACAAAGCTAAAAATTAAATTTTTATTATCACAAAAATTATAATTTATGTTATCTTTATTTTCCTTAGATCCTTAAGTAATAATATCCTAAAATCTTTGAAATGTGATATGAATTAAATCCTGTCAGATACGAAAATAAAATCAATGAATTAGTGTACACTATATTTATCGTGCAATGACAAATAAAGTGTCGTCAAAGCGCTGTTTTGGAAAATTATACTAATTTTTCGTTAAAAAGGAGAATTTGAATATTTGCAGATAACAACTGCCCAGAAAATCATTATTTATTTAATCACTCTATTAATTATAAAATATATTTATATATAAGTATTCAATAAAATTAAAGATATTGAAATTAGCACAGCAATGATATAATATTATTACTTTTTAAATGTTGCAATGGTAACAAAATTTCTAATAAAGAAAAATGTATATTAAAATCTTTTAAATACAGCTCTGATAAATATATTATCATATGGTTTCACTATCATTTATTCTAATTAAATTCTCAGTACAATTTAACGTATAAATTCAACTCCAAATCCAGACTCATATTTTAACGAGAATATACTATAAACAAGATTCAAATATTAAAAGTTGATAAAAATCCTGGTTAATACAAAACGTTGCAGCTTAAAGTTTCTAGTTAAGAATTATTCAGCTAAACTTAAATTTAATGTAAGCTTTAATGCCAGTATTCCTGAAACGGATAAGAAGATAGAAAAAATGCAAAGGCATTTTGGCGGCGTAAGCTCAGTCTGAAAATTAAGGCAGCTGCGTTTTCATCGCGTGCGTTAACCTCGGCTTCTCGTATCTCGCGAGATATATTCAGGAACGAGAACGGCTTTCGAAGGCGAACCAGTTTTATTACCTGGCGTTTGAAACCGTGTGGGTACATGAATGTACTCTGTAGTTTCAATGTAGGCTTGTGTATACCGAAAATCCAGTTACTTGCTTCTATCTGCAAATCCTTCCACTGATATATATCCGGTAGAAAGGCGGATATTTACCCGCGACCATAGCCACAAGTCCGCATAGCTTTTGCATGTCATCTTTAATTTTAAATTTCGTTCAAGTGTGCGCAAAGTATTCACACTTCAAGTATTGACAATTTGTGCTTAAAAAATACATTTGTCTTTAGATTTAGGGGTTTATGGATATTCTTTGATAATACTTTTTCAAGCCAATTCATAAAAAATTGTTTAATATCAAGAATTTTATATTATAATACTGCTTGTAGTACAGAAATATTTCATTCAACTGAATAACTAGTACTATCATATTTTTTATTAAATTAATATTTTTTGCATGTACTTTTAAAGTTTACAATTATAATTCATTATTTTATTTATAACCGTCTAAACATCACAATTGATTGAAAATTTCTCAAGTTTAACTAAGTATTGTATTATAAAATATTTATTAATTCTAATTACAAATTTATGTGTATGGTTATCAATAATACAATAACTATTTACACATCAATATGTATTTTTTAAATATTATTTAATTAAATTAAGTTAATGTAATTATTTAATAATAAATCATATTATTTTAAAAGAAAATAAAAAGTGATTGTTTCGAAATATATTTTAATATGTATTATAACTATTTTTTTTCAATTCGTTGTTTTTTCCAATACACTGCACATTTTTTTTTGCTACTGCCAGTGCAACTAATATTGTTGGAATGCATACGTAAGTTCATTTTTCCTTTGTGAAAACGAAGTCGAAAAGAAAAAGGAGGAACAGTTGTAATAGTAGAAGAAAGAGAAAAAATATACGTGGATCATGATAAAAAGAGAAAGGTATGAAATACTTTATTATGAAATGCTGACATTAATAGATTGCACACATAGTTGAATTACATAGATTGTCAAAGTGCGTATTTATTTTCTTTTAAGCAGTTCTTTTTTCTTTTTTATTTCATTATTATACACTAACAATATTATAGTATTCAATGAGAAAAAAAATTAAAAATGCTTCTTATATGTAGTAAATTTAAATACCAGAGTTAAGCTTTGTTTTTTTATTTTTCTTATATATATTATTTAAAAAATAATAGCTTTATTAAGTTTAATTTAACAATAATTTCAATTTTTAATAAAGTATAAAAACGTTAAATATTTTTCCATTTTTAAAAATAATAAATAGTTAACAAATTTTGTTAATTAAAAATAATTAAGAGAACAGAAATTTTTAACTAATATTATATTTTTTATTTATAGTTTTGAAGTCGTTCAAATAAATTTGAAACTTAATTAAAAAATAATTATTAATAAATTAAATATAAAAAAATTACTTATGTTTAAATTAATTATGTCTGGGATTTTGTCTGACAATTATGTAATATGAAAACTTCATTATTCTCAATGATCCAGAGAATGTTTGGCTATAATTTTTTATCAACAAATAAAAATATCATAATATTTGTCTTGATTAGAGAATTTATGTTACTTATATAATAATAAATACTAATAATTTAATTTTTACATTTTAATTAATAGGCCATAATAAGTCGGTACTTTTCTTTAATATATAATATATATATTGCAAATATTACTAGCGCATTTCTAGAATAAAGCGTATTTTTATTATTACATACTTCAATATATAGTATTTTAATTTAATAAATAGTTATTGTGAATAGAATAAATTTGGGAATAAATATAAATTCCGATGTAAATTATAAATATGATTTTAATATTATATTACATTTTATCAATATTAATAATTACGTAATAGGTCTCAATTAATTTTATGAATAAGTGTATGTAATTATAAACAAAATTATAAATAACATTATCATGTTTTTTACATTTTTATAAGAAAAGGTTACTTTTAATAATTACAGTTCAACTTTTTGCATTATATAAAACTTGTAAGTTGCAAAAATGTTATATGTATAATGTATAACCTTATTTATTTTTTAATAAAATTGAATAAAAAATTACTATTGAAAAATATAAAAGATGTTAAAATGATGCATTAAATTAATTGTTTGAAGAAAACTCAATAACCATATACCGATGAACTAAATAGTTAACAATGCGAAGTAACTAAGATTAAAAGGTTCAAACATACGACGTACCTTCTATGCCTGTAAGTCTATACACTTCCTCAAATTATATAGAACGACTCTTACGAAGTGTTACAAGTTGTAATAAGAGTTAAAAGGTTAAATGCGAAATGTGAGAAAATTACAAATATTCGTCCATGCATATATTCGTTGCAAAATTAGAAAGTTATCCTTCGAACTATGTGTAACCATGTACTAACTAAAAATGAATGTTTACATCTAAATTTATCTCTTGTAACTATGTATCGAACTGTTTTTATCTAATTTTCTACTAGAAAATAGTAAGCAAAATAATAATTTGGCATTTCATAAGTGATATTTTAAAATTTTGAAATAGAAAATTTTAAGTCAATTTCAATTACTGAAAAATATTAAACTCAGTGTTTCGTAATAATTATCATTTTTTATTATTTAACTACTATTGACAAAAATTTTTCAAAGTGTTCATTAAAATATATTTTATGGTACTATTGATAAGATTATGATAAGACGATATTTTACATTTGAAAATTAAATCCAAATATAATTTAATAAATAGTGATTATATATAATAAAATATAACAAATAAGATAAATAATCAAATGAATATATTAAATAATTACTAGATCCTTCTAATGTTCGGTTTATGATTTTCATTTTTTTTAATTGCATTTCTTTTCAAAATAAATCATTTGTAAAAAATAAACATACATGATTATTTTGTATTTATTAATTTATTTTACTAAATTACTCAATTTTAGAAAAATTTAGAATTATTTATTTCATACATAGATTGAATCGAATAAATGAATCATGACATTAATTTTTAAAAAAATAAAAAAGTAACTTAAAAATCTATAACATTTATAACTTTTTCAGTAAATTTTTTTTTCATGTATTTTCATTACGTCATTCATAGAATAATAATTTGAATAATTAAACAATGTATGTATTTATTATGTATGTTTTGTAGAAAAACTAGGCTTAAGATATTTACAAAGTAAGCTCTCTCAAAAGAAAGACTTAATTGAATGTTTAATTAAAAAATTCAATATTAGAATATTCATAATTAAATGAATAAATGAATAGCTGTTTAATCTAAATTTTATCATAATACATTGATTCTCTACTTATCTGGTTAAGAAATTATATAAATTTTATACTTTTCGATAAATGACATATATAATATACTTATGAAGTATGAATCGTTAAGAAGAGTACTAAATATGACGATGTAAGTAAAATGTAATACTTCTATAAAGAGATAAAAGATAAAATTTTTAGTAAAACAAAATTGGAATAAGACAAAGAAATACATGCAAAATTTCTAGTAGATATTGTATGATATATGTAAGTAACTTTTAAGTAGTCTTGTAAAATTAACTTTTTTTCTTAACTGTTCTAGAAATTATGCATTTTCCAAAAGTCATTGGAGGAGGTGTCATCGCAAATAGCTGCTGCAGAAGCAATTCGAAGCGGATGGCAGGCAATCAACATTACCGATATCGAATCCACAGAGGAGCTCGAACAGCTGCAGAAATTTGGTGATCGTCTTGCGCCCATTCAAAGGCTTATTGATGAAGCCAATGAGCAAGCGAGTGCCTTCGTGTCTAGCAATGTCATTGTCTCGCATGCGCTACTTACTAAACACGAAAACCTCAATACCAGGTATGTAAATTTTCTACTTTATTATTGCGTTTATTGCCCCCGAGACTTAATAAATTTTTTAATTTTTATTACACATACGAAGTCCAATTACCAATAAAATTGCTTGTAATGAGATTAATTTTATTCGAATAAATATTAATATAAGAATATAAAAGTATTAATTTTTTTATTCAATACTTATATGTTATAAAAATTCTATAGTTCTATTTATTATATACGATATCTATTACTTAATGTAAATATATGTTTTCATTAAAGTTAAAAATGCAGCCCATTTAATAATACGATCAAAGAACATAATTTGAATCATAATTTTATTGAAAAGCGATATTATTTGCCGAAATTATACTGGGAATTTTTCCATTTAACCCCCAATATTATATTATATTTTATTTTATTATTATTTTATATTATTTGATATTATATAAGATAATATCAAATATATGTTATCTTGTATTATATAGATTATATATTTTTGTATTATATCATAAATAGCTACAAATCATGAACGAGTGACCGTCTCCAAACAAAAATTAATTACTAAAAATATTACAGAAAGACCTTAGGATTATTTTTTATTTTTTACTTTCGATTTATCTTTATTTTATTATCATCTCTGTATAGATGGAAGGTACTTCAGGTGTCGGTTGAAGAACGCTACAAATTATTAAATGACTTTGGGAAAGATAGCGCTCCAGGTAGTCAAACATTCCTGGCGAGTAGCGTCGAAGCGCCATGGGAAAGAGCGCTCACGCCTGCCAAAGTGCCTTACTATATCAAGTATGAAAATGTAGATCTTTTTATATTATATGCTAAATATATATTCAAATAGTACTCAAAATGAGATTATCTATTTGCTTTTTAATTTGAATATAAAATAGACTAAAGTAGATTTATCTATTGAAATATTAAAATTTTAAATTTTAAATTTAGTATCATAAAATTGTTAAAAACTATTTTATTGTTTATATACATATATATATATATATATATATATATATATATATATATATATATAATATTAAATGTTACAAAAATTATATTATAAAAATATTTAATTAACATATTTAAGAATTTTGAACATTTTAAACGAACATTATATAGATATTTTAATAAAAAAATTATTAAAATTCAACGTATAATGTAAAAAGGATAAATATTTTAACTAACTTTGTTCGTTATATAGTCACCAATTAGAAACAACGCATTGGGATCATCCAAAAATGATAGAACTCATGTCTTCACTAGGAGACCTTAATGAGGTTCGTTTCTCTGCGTACAGAACAGCCATGAAATTAAGAACAGTGCAGAAGCGACTCAACTGTAAGTAATAATTTTTTATTTATAATATAATAAATTATATTTTGTTTAATTTCATATTGTTTATATAAGACATTTTAATATATTCTTATAATTAGTTAAAGAATAATAAAAATGTTTTAAATCCTTAAATACTTTACTCGCAGAGTCAAAACAAAATTTTCTATATCTATCAAACTATCAAAAAGAGCACACATCTAAATAGTTAAAAAAAATTCCAGTGAATTCTATAATTTTGTAATTTTAAAATAATAGAATGACAATGTAAATTAGCAATAAATATATTGTATAAAATTTAATTAAATTGAACATTTAACTTTGTATAAAGTATTATTTTTATTGTGTTGTTACTCATTTTCAAATTGATTCACGATTAGAATATTATATTTTTTAGTATAGATAAATTATGTTAAATAATTATCATTGATTTTATATTAATCGCAGCTATTTATGTAATAGTTGTTTAAATAAAAAAAACATTCATTAGGAAAATTTTTTATGATGCAATTCCTATCGCTCTAAATATTGAAGATTATGGTTGCGTAACAAAATTAAATTGAATTAAGGAAGCTATAATATATAAAAAAAAAATAATTGGAAAACAGTATTACTAAATAGTATTTTATTTTTAGTGGATATGCTTAGCCTCTCCACTGCACTGGAACAATTCGACTGCCACGGTCTCCGAGCTCAGAATGATAAGCTCAATGGTCACAGTTCTTAATTCAATTTACGAACTTATTATTGCTGAAAATCCAACCCAAATGTCTATATCACTCTGCATAGATCTTGCGATTAATTGGTTACTTAACGTTTACGATAGGTACGAGATTCTTCTTATTGTTCATAAAGAATGCAATACGATTCGTAATATAATTAAAATAAAAATATTTATGAATTTAAAAATAAATATAAAGTAAATGTATATAACATATTATTTTAATATAATTTAATCATGTCGAAATTAAATTTTGTATGTGGGTATGCTACGTGTACATAGGTATGCTGAACTTGAGTCTATATATATATATATAAATATTACTACATATTCCATAAATATTAACATAAATTATTAATAATATTATAAATAAAAAACTAAAATAAAATATTAATTTATTAAATTTTAAAGTTCTGTTATCCTGCAAAATAGGTATCATTATTACACCTAGTATCATTCAAAATTTTGCTGTTAGAATGAAATTATTGACTGCTGCTCAACTAGGAAACTAGGGCAAAAATAATAATACAAATATTAAAAGAAGAATAAATTATTCTAAGAACGTTTTTATTTCATACTCTAGTATATATAGAGATAAGATAAGATTGATTTTCGTGGTATAACTATACCATAAATTTGCAATTTAGGCTAAAATAGATTATGATAGTGCAAATATAAAAGAAAAATTTTCAGTCTTTTGCTATAAGGATAAAAATAATACAGAAAAAAAAGAATTATAATAAATATGTTGAAAAGCTCAGAATGATGAGTGATATATTATAATTTCTTCGTTCAAATCTCACGGTTGTTATAGAGCTTTAAATAAATCATATGACTATTGAATATTGGATTCATATTTACAATGAATGAAATTCGATAATAATTCCAACTATTGCCATGATTAACGTTCTCCACATTACGTGCTTACTGCATCGTTAACGAAATGTATTTAGAACTCTTATTATATGACGCATATGTATTAAAAATATCAGCACTTCGACATAAAACCAATTTTTTAAAGATATTTAAATTCATTTGCGCATGAAATGTATTAAAGATTTTTAAAACTAAAATTTTTAATTTTTTAAAAATTATAGATTTGTTAATTGGTTGAAATTTTTATTTTAAACAATAAATTAAAAAAATTTTTTTGGAACATTACAATTATATTTTATGAAAATTATTTATCGAAGTAAATTATTAGCTTTACAAGAAATAAATTTCCATTTAAATAGACGTGGCTTTTGAGAATATATCTTACTTAAACCATATTTTGAATGTATTTTACTAGAAAATTTGCCAAGAATAAATAATTTTTCCATAAATTTTTTAATTGAATTATAATTACTTTGTTCAGAATTTACTTTCAATTATTAAATAAAAAATAATTTGAGTTTACAAATTTTAATTTTGTAATACATTGATAAACATGTATAAAAATATGGTAATTAATACGTCTTTATAATGAAATCGTAAAATGTTCATACTTTTTTACAGCCAAAGAACAGGTCAAATTCGAGTTCTATCTTTTAAAGTTGGATTGGTATTACTTTGTAAAGGATATTTGGAAGAAAAATACAGATGTAAGTATAAAACAAGGTTTTTCAAATATCCATCGGTTTATTAATTTATAATCTAATATAATTTAATTTTAACGCATAATTTTATAAATTGCTTTGAGTTATACGTAAAACAATTTCACCATTTAGATTATTCACTTTCTTAAATAAATTATAAATTATAAATTATTTTTGTAGTAAAGCTATTATTCAAGAATAAAAAAAATATGAAATCCTTTTTTTTAAATGTAATATTATAAAGACGAAAAGATTTATTCTTGATAGACGTCGATTATAAAAATAAAAGAAATAATAAAGTCATTGACTGTCAGATCTTTTTCGACTAATTGCTGATTCGAATCGCCTTGTGGACCAACGAAAACTTGGACTACTTCTCCATGATTGCATTCAAGTACCTCGGCAGCTTGGGGAGGTTGCAGCCTTCGGGGGATCAAATATTGAACCTTCGGTGCGTAGTTGCTTTGAAAAAGCTGGTAGAGACAAGACTGAAATTGAGGCAGTAAATTTTTTAAGCTGGTTGCAACAAGAGCCCCAAAGTATGGTGTGGTTACCAGTATTGCATCGACTTTCTGCGGCTGAAAATGCCAAACACCAAGCCAAATGCAACATATGTAAAGAATATCCAATTATGGGTTTCCGTTACAGATGTCTTAAATGTTTCAATTTCGACATGTGCCAAGGATGTTTTTTTTCAGGAAGAAAGGCCAAAAATCATAAGCTTACGCATCCAATGCAAGAGTATTGCACAGCGGTCAGTATTTTTGATTATTGTATTTTATATTATTTATAATTTTGAGATTATATAATATACAAACTTATTCATTTTGTTCGACACTTTTATAAAATATTTCTTGATTGTTCAAAAGGTTGGCAGTATCATATAATCAATAAGTTAAATAAAGGGATTTGTCAAAAATTATAAAATGTAAAGAATTATGCAAAAATCTAATATTAGAAGGGATGAAAAATGAAATTAGACGAAGGAAATTTGAATGCAATTAAATCCAAATCATGCATATTTATTTGCAGACAACATCCGGTGAAGATGTGCGAGACTTTACGCGCGCTTTGCGTAACAAATTTAAGTCAAAACGATACTTTAAAAAACATCCACGAGTTGGTTACTTACCAGTGCAAACAGTTCTTGAAGGTGATGCTTTGGAGAGTCCGGCGCCATCACCGCAGCATAACTCACTCAGCCAGGATATGCACTCACGTCTTGAAATCTATGCTTCCCGATTGGCAGAGGTTGAATTATCTCGTACTCGAAGTAATTCAACACCTGATAGTGATGATGAACATCAACTAATAGCTCATTATTGCCAGAATCTTAATGGTGGCGATGGATCCAACGTACCGCGTAGTCCAGTACAGGTAAGAATCATATAATAATAATGCTTTAAGTAATTTATTGAAGTAATATCAAGATGGATCTTAACTTTAATATTCAGTGAAAGTTTTTTTTTGTATTTTATATTGTTTACAACAATTTTGCTTTTCAAATAATTAAATTTATAAAATAAATTTATTTAAACCCATATGTTTGTATACAAAATAATGAAAATCACTAAACCGTATTATAAACGATACATTTAATTTCTATATTTTACATATTCAATAATTTAACAATTGGTTTATTTTATTGAATTTTGCAAATACTGTGTAAATGTTTATAAGATATTTACTAAATTAAAGTGCATCATAATTTTACATTTATTTCTTCATAATTGCAATATGTAGAATGTATGCTATATATAGTTGTTAATAAGGTATGCTTAATATTTATGCCGTCAACAGGTAATGGCGGCTATTGATGCTGAACAACGTGAAGAGCTCGAGGCAATGATTCGTGAACTAGAAGAGGAAAATGCAACGCTACAAGCGGAGTATGAGAGGCTACGTTCAAAGCAAACGCCAGGCTCGACACCGGAAGATGGCGTTCATTCGAGTCGACAACCCGACTGTGATATGATTGCTGAGGCGAAGCTGTTACGACAGCACAAAGGACGGCTTGAAGCACGTATGCAAATACTCGAGGACCATAACCGACAGCTTGAAGCGCAATTACAGAGACTAAGGCAACTTCTCGATGATGTATGCATATACTATGTAGCAATTAATTAATCAATATGTATTTTTTACTTATATATGCACAGTGTATATTAAAGAAATACAAATTGAGACAATTTTATTTAATAGAAATTATTTATTTTATATATATTTAAAAATGTATATGTATTAAGCTAGTATGCTTATAATTATCACAAAGTAATATTTTTATTGTAGAAACTTGAATATTTTAATACACAATACATTATTGTAATTGAGGGAACTAGGTTAAACAAACTTTTGTATCATGAGAATACAAAATAAAATAATGTTATATTTCTCTATATTAATTTGTTTGAAATTTTCAGCCGAATGCATCATCCCCGTCTAAAACTGGAACACTACAAACACGAAGTGTAACGGCTTCGCAACTAGCTACTGATTCTCCTGCTAAAATCAATGGGCATTACCATGATTCATCAGGTATATTAAACAAATATTATATTTAACTCAAAATTATTGAAAATTTTGTCATTTATATTAACATTTGAGTTATATATATATATATATATATATATATATGCATACTAATTGTATTACTAAATAGAAAAAATTTATTTTCCGATTTTTGTGAATTTTCATGCTTTGATTATTATAAGGTAAATGTATGGTATTCAAAATTATGCTATACTTAGTTATTTGATTCATTTTTAAAATGATTAGATCTGCTTAATTCTAAAAATAAAAACTTTAGAAATCTATATTCTCTCTCTTTGTCACTTTCTTTTATACTTTTGTGTGCATTATATCCTTTTTTCTCTATGTAATTGTGCTTTTCGGATATGCTTGGGCTTAGCTGGTGGTGAAGGTTCGGGAGATGGTCAAATAAACAGCTTAGAAAGGCCACCGCCGCCGCCTCATTCTCACGGCATAAATCATAATGTGGGCAACCTCTTACACATGGCAGGTTTGTGTTCATATTAAAGCTTCTTTTATCATCTGCTTTTTCAATTTAATAATAAACTCATTTGAAGTAAACTCTTATTATTTGTGTTACATTGTCAGTTGAAATTTTATATTTCATAAAAGTGAAATCCTGATAAAATCAAATACAATGTTTTATGCTTCTTATTTCCACAATTATTTTAAATAAAATATATAATTAGTCAAATACTTGGTAATAAAATATCTTTTAATATTTATTCAGTTTTTAACTACTTATCAACTTCGAATAACAAATTTAAAACACTGAAATAAACGATTCTTTATTGTTCACAAACTAGTATTAGTCAGTAAACAAATATTATTATTTGGATTTATCTAATTTCTCATTTCATAGTTTCAATCAATGTATTTTAATTAATATCCTTCTCTTCAATGAAAAAGTTTAAAATTTAATACAATAATTAAATACAATACTATTTAAATATCTACAAATTTTTAGTAAAGAAATTATTTTAATTAATTAAAGTATGTAAAACATCCAAATTAATAAAGAAAGAACAATTTTTAGTAATGTTTATATAATAATGAATTCTTATGGAAATTAAAAAGAATCATTACAATTGATTTATTAAATAATTAAAATCTTATAAGTTAAAAATTAATAGTAAAACTTTAAAGTATTGTATGCTTTAAAAAAAATGAAACTGAAATAAATAAAACTATCTGTAACTGATTGTAATCTCTTTAACATTGATATTACGTTTATATAATAAAATATTAATCACTAAATTTAATTTTAGATAATTAATTAAATAACTGAATTTATAAATTCCATTAAATAATTATATTTATAATTCCTTTCATTAAAAATGTTAATATTTTATGTGCTATTACTTTAGGATGGATGTAAAAAGGTAAGCAAAATAAATAAGTGTGCGAGTAGAAAGTGATTTTATATTAATATGTACAATTTCTTTTATAATTTTAATATTTTTATTATACTCTAGTCATTCACACATTTGTAACAGAATATTATTTTATAAAAAATATTAATTCTTGAATATTGGCAAATTAATTATATTTTATAATGTACATACCATTTTAATGTAAATTTTAAAGGTAAATTTATGAAAATTTAGTAGTATCAAATCTGTTATATACACATTGTTGTTTGGTTATATGTGTCAATAAAATTAATTTATATATCTTAATTTTGATTTTAAATTTGTGCATGAAATTATTTTTTATTGTAATTAATAAAATATAATATATAATAATTACGTTTATACTTAATATTTCATATATGTTGACTTTCATTTATTATTATAGAAAAATTTTATTAAAATGACTTTTTTTATAATGATAACATTATTTCTTAGATTTGGACTTTTCTTGAATTTAAAAATAATTTTAATATTTAGCTGAATTTATTCTAAAATTGGCATGAGAAACAATAATTTTGCAAATAAAAGTTATCATTTGTTTTAACTTTGTAAGAACCAGTTCAACATAAATATCTTCAATTATTCCAGTTGATATTTATTATATATTTTATATACACTTTTACTCATTTAAATATAAAAAGTTATATTATTAATTTATTCTAAATAATATATAAAAGTTTATAAACATACAATATTGTGTATTATTTTTTAGTTTTATAAATCTTAAATTGTCCATGAACTTCTCATAAGCTGTTAATATGATATATTTATAATAATTAGTGTTATATTATATTATATTATTATATTATTATTGTTATATATTAGTGTATAATATTTTTTATCCTTTATAACTAAACTTATAATTTTTGTAAAACTATGTTTTACTGTAATTTCAAGAATTAAAAATGAATTTTAATTGAAATATTTTGTGTATGACAAAACCACATATAAATTTGTAATTAAAATGATAAATTATCTAATTACATGCTGTTAATTAATTTTTTAATCTTTCTAATTATTTTGAGTATTTAGGTTCAAAATTATATGTTCATGTTTTTTCTATTCCTAAATTTATTTAATTGAAAACAAATATATTAAAGCTATGAGTCGATTAATTTTATTTTTTATTGTAAAACCTTACATATATAGAAAATAAAATTTCACAATATTTAAGATCACTTTTAAATAAAGTATATATAAAATAAAAAAATAATAAATCATTTACATCAATTAAAATTTGTATCATATTTTAGATGACTTAAGCAAGGCTGTTGGTGACTTAGTGACCATAATGACTGAAGACAGTAAGCCAGAGTTAAATAGTCAGCAACAGCGAGCTCCACCACCTGCGTTCAAGTAGTGCATAAGCAAAATAATAAAGACAAACACAAATTTTCACAAAGTATCACTTGCAACTATAAGCATATATATGCGTAGAACACAAATTCATACTCATACTTATTTATACATATATACAATTACATACGTATATGGAAATAATCATTGATTTTAATTTAATCCAATGGTGGATAAAAAATATTAAACATAAATTATAAATTATAGATCTAGAAGATGAAGAGAAAGCGAGTCATCACAATCAATGTTATTAATTGTCTATTATGCTACTAATTATTATTTTGAATCAGTGACCAAAAGTAATGAATTTAAATTATTTTATATCAGAGATATGATACTTACAGAAAAATGGTAATGTGTATTATAAAAATGTAAATGAAAAATGTTACACTTATATCAGATCAAAAAAACTAAGATAAATTTTTTAATACACAATCCACAATGTTTTTAGGTATTTTATAAATTTGTTGTATAAGTGAAGGAATTACTCTTTTTATTGAATAGTGGCAAATTAAGAAAAGAACAAAGTAATTTTTCCGCGCTTCATTTGCTATAGCTATTTTAAAGGATAGTATCTTTTAAAGTAGGTATTGTGATTCGTCATATCATTGCCAAAAAATAAATGAGAAAAATTCCAGAAATGGAATAATGTGATGTACTATAATAATCAGAAAATAAGCGAACCAATTGTTAAACATCTATTATAACTAAGATTACTACACTTATCAAAAAAACGTAAAAAAGTAATCAAATTTGAAGTTGAGATAAAAAAAGTAATTCTAAATAATGTTTGTAATACTAAAAACAAGCAAGCTGTTAAATGATATACTGTTGTAAGTTTTAGAATTATAATTTACATAATCTATCTAATCAAAATCCTGAATTCCATTTTCCTTGTCATTTTCATTAATTTTTTAAAATAATTTATAATCTTTCTAACTTTATATATCTGTTATATGAAAATTAATATTAAAAAAACATAGAATATATAATAAGAAAATGAAAAAAGAAATTAAAAATAAAACCGAATTGACCCTTATTATGTAAACGTATATTATTTATACATGAACGAAAAATGTAATAGATTTTTTAATAGAAAAGGAATTCGATCTTTGGTGTAAAGTACCATTTTGTTGTTCTTCTGTTCCACTAATGAGTAAATGGAGCGCGTGCTCAGGCATGTGTGTGTATATTTACTAAATACATTAATAAAGAAAAATCAAGTTTTTATTTAAATAACATGTATTATGACTATTTAGTAATATAAATATATATGAGCGTATGCATACATATACAGTAAAAAGCTCTATGTTTATTTGATTGCAATTTTAATATACTTTATATTAGATATTAAATACCTTTTTATTGGTTTGAAAATAAATACATTTAAAAAATTGTTATTCTTATAATCATGTTATCAGTAAAATTTATAATAACAAAATTATAGTTAAATATATGTTTATAAATATTGAGAATAATTTTTTATTCTTTTCTGTTAATATTTTTTAAACAGAAAATTTTGTATTAATAATATTATCAATAATTGTATAAAATTATAAGTAAAAATTAAATTTATATTTTATATAGAATAAATAATTATTTACTTAATTTTATTGTAATTACAAATAATGTGTAAAATGGTAAAAAAATTATTGTAGATTTATATTAAATGCTTCAAAATGATTTTGTTAGGTATTTTATTAGTGTATACTAATTATACGCATTTGGTTTAAACAATATCAATTTAAATATATGACCAAGCAGGTTTAAAAATAAAATATTTTTTTCATTATTAGATAAAATAGGAAATAAATAAGATTCTATTTTAATGTAAATATAATTTTAGTGATAATGAATCAGCATTGATAGTAATTGAGAGGCAGTCATAACTTGAATATTTTTACTTGACTATTTCATAATAATCATTTATGTAATTTAAAAGTCAATAAATAGAGGCTATGAAGTAGAAATTTTTACTAGAGATATTAAACATGCTTAGAATCTTAGATTGCTTACTAAATTTTATAATTTTACAGATAAAAAATGGGAGTAAGAATATTACGATATCAGTAAAACATAATTTTCACAACTAGTGTAACGGATGTACATGAATAGTTAAACATTATTGGAGAGATATATATCCTAAGCGGTCGTTAGAGCTTTCTATGCTATCAATAAAATATTGAAAATAAAGAAAAAAGCATATTTCTTTTTAGTAAAAATATCTCTTTAATGATTAATATCAATATTCTTATTATTATTGATGTTTTATTTTACTTTATATTTATCATTGTATATTATTATTATATATTTTATATTTGTTATACATTTTCAATTAATTTTTTCGTTATTATAATTTTTTAGTTCTTATTATTAATATAAATATCAGCTTTATTTAATAAAATTCTTTTAGATTGTAATTTAACAATTCTATGATTACAATATTTTAAAATTCTGTAATCAGTGCGAATCGAATCGAAATATATTTATATATATAACTTGCAGTTCTGGGATTCTTTTATAATGGTTTACTAGAGTGAAAAACATATATTCACTATAATTCTTAAAGATTAACTTACATAATTAAATTTAATATTTAAAATTTCAAATATTCTTGATTTGTATTTAAATATGAGATTTTGAGTAATACCTTTGTCCTTAAATATCTATCAAAACAATCATCAAAGATCTCAAATAGAGATTTTATCACTAACGATTTTTATTCGGCATTATTGCTTACTCAAAATTAGAAAAATAATATTCTTGAAAATAATATATAAATATAAATTATAATTATAAGTCTAGAGAGATATAACTTTTTTAAATGCATGCCTGCATTCTAAAAATGATACTAAGTAATATACTCTAAATACATATATTATGTATAATATAAACAATAAAGAAATATAAACAAAGTAAGGAAAATCTCTAAAATAACTAATAACGAGAAATTTAATTAAGATATATAGTAATAATATATGCACAAGTTTAACAATCAGTAAGGAGGGATAGCAAATATATAGGATTGTTAAGAGGAAAATACAATAATTATATAAAATTTAATGTTTTGTAAACGAAGGATGAAGGTAAATGAAATAATAGAGAAATACTTCCGCTTCTCGATTTCAGAATACATGGTTAAAGAAACATTTGAGACGGATGGTAAAATGTTATTTTTCTTAAATTTGAATTGGTTACGTTTTCTATTACAACTCAAACACAGTTTAAAAATTATATACGATACATAATATATGTAGACTATATTTGCCCCAATATAATTAAATGAATTTTAATATCAAATTGTAATAAAATAAATCAATAATATACTAATCTAAACATATAATATATAATTACATTATCATTATCATTATCATTTCGCTTACTGGTTAGATTAACAAAACAAAAAAAATATATATATATATATATATATCAAATTCTAAATTTAAAATCAAATCTATTAACTTTATTTTTATTTTCTATTAAATATATACGTGTACACAAAATTATAATGTAACCTTGCAATAACTTTACTTAAAATTTTATAAATTCAACTCTATTGAAATAATTTATTCGGATTTTTAAATCAATTTATCGCCTTTTCTTCTATTGTGTTTGTTTATGGAGCAACAATTACTTACACCTGTATATACGTCTATATTTAGTGGTATGTTACAGCAATGTTCTAAAACTATTAAAATCAAAACTGTATACTTTCAAATTACTTTGAACTCCACAATATTTTTTGCTTTATATTTTTATTACAAATCTAATCTTTCTAAATAAAATAAAAATATAATGAATAATGTTATTATTGTATAAATCCTTTTAGTACAAAAGACTGCATATTTATATGAGAATATAATAATATAAAAATATTTACAGAAAAAGAAAATTTGAATTAATGTATACCACAATAATATTTAGTAGATGACTGTTATGTAGGTGCTAACTAATTTTCTCGAAATCTAAATGAAAAATTGTTAATAAAAGGCACATTAAATATATTATAAACTAATAAATGATTAATGTGAAAATAATCTTTACATTAATATAAAGTTAATTAACAATTCTATGAACGCGATATGCAGGCATACATTTAAACTGTTCTTATCTGAAATAAAGAACTTTTTAATTATGATTGCAAGGTTCAATAATAATTTGGATAAATTTATCATTGCGAAAATTAATGTACTAACATAATGTTATCGATATTGTTAGTAATACAATCACAGAAGGTATTCAATTGAAATCATATGCTTATTTTATTTATTGTTATACTTGAAGAAAAAATCTAACAAATCTATTTAAGAAATATATGAGTAATAAAAATAAATACAAATATAAAATTGTAGATAATATAATGAAGAATTGAAGGAAAGAAATTTAAATACATAAAGTAAAGTAAATAAAGTGGCATTCTATACATATTAAAGTTGCATTTTCGAGTTTAATATATCCGGTTAAAAAGCTTCATATTATTTCGGATTTATGCAATAATAGGTTACTAAGTAAATAAATCATTAAAGATAATTAGTTCTATACAATCTGATCAAGAAAATCAATCTGATTTTATGACAATTAGACGTAAATTAACATTTTAAATGCACAATAAAAATCTGAAGTCCACAATAATAGTTCATGAAGTTTGAAAATAAAGTCTTCGTTTAATAAGTCATTATTCAAAAAGAGAAAAAAGTAACGAATAGAATCATCAGTTTGTCAGTAAAAGTTACAATTTCAAAAGATTTTACAAATCCTACCATGTATTAATGAAAGCTCATCACAAAATAAAATTCAAAAAAGTTAAAAACGAATTTCTTCATTTTCTACGGGTGCAAAACTATTTATAAAATCTTATTAATATTTGAGAGACTGATAAAATTTAATCGTTTAGGTGATACTAGTACATTAAATATGCGTAAAGGGTAAAAATGGATTTATTTAATAATATGTTAAAAGGTAAGAAATCGAAAAATAGTAGTAAAACAGTTAATATAAAAAAGAGAAACACAATACAGGTTTGATTAAAGTGAAACAAGTAAATAAAAAGGTAATTAAATGCAAGGATAAAACAGGAGTGAAAGAACGAGCAAATGAGAATAATTAAACCAAGTATCAAAAAGTATTTATTTTTATATCAACTATTATTGTTACGAAAGTACTTTATTATTATTATTAAATTAATTTTTTGGATTGAGACCGAATAAAGAATTATTTTACTGATCGCGGTTTTGTTTTATTTTGTATTAGTTTTCTCCCGCATACAATTGTGTCCACATGGGCGCCTAAGCAGAATTTTTTATGAATATTACTAGCTTGCCGATACTATAATGTGCGAAAACTTAACAGCAGATAAATATATGATTGTAGTTTATATATTATTTATATACTTTGCGTACTAACTAAACGTACGGGAACGACTTTACACAAAATAACATCGCCAATGAGTGTAATTATCAAGTTTCAATGTATATACTACCTTCTCATCGAATAAATTTATGGCTTAGTTTTTTCGAAATAATTCATAAGTATTTATTATTTAACCATAGAAAAAAGTAACACTGTACATCACAAAGTACACTTAGGCCCTATTCACAGTTTATTATCTTTTATAAAAAAATACGCTTTATTGTAGTATTATGTAGCATTAAATAAAAGATAGTAAGAATTCATTATTTATTCTAATACATATTTATATATGATTACATAAAATGGCATCGGATAGACAATAAAAAGAAAATAAAACTTCTATAAAGTGTTGATGGGACAATTATTAAATGAATA